CAGCAGGACTTGGCACCTGCCCACACTGCCAAAAGCACCAAAACCTGGTTCAATGACCGTGGGATTACTGTGCTTTTAAGTTGCATTACTGAAATAAATGAACTTTTGCACGATATTCTGATTTTTCGAGTTTCACCTGTCCTTATTCTGTGAATGTAGCCATTCACAAGTTACAAAACATAGCTTACCTGTTAGTGCCTTGTTTTCCAAAAAGTCTTCTGGATTTTGATAAGGATCGTTTCTTTGTCTTAATATGGGCAAACTGCCAACCTGCACAGCTATGTTTCCATTGATGGTGATAATCACCTCCCACCATTATATATAGAGTCAGGTAACTTGTTTTGTTTACAGACAAGTCTGCTTCGGTCTGACGTTGGTGTTGGAAGGCCAGAGCCCCTGGCTTGCTCAGGAAAAACTGGAACACCCCATTATCCCTTTTCCTCTGCAAATCCACGACGAAGGCCCCTCCGTGATTCATCTTCCCTTGGTGAGTCAGTCATGTTGTGCCCCTTTTTCCCCCAGGGAACACATTGGATTATAGGCTTCGTTTCGTGGATAAAGATACATTTCACAAGGAAGAGGCTCCAGAAGGGAGCTGCTCTTTAATAGCCTGAAGGATAGAACTTGCTGATAATTGCTTCAGGTTTCTCCCCTTTGCCTCCACCCTCCCCACTTCACACAGAATTGTGTGTGTGTGTGTGTGTAAAAGAGATTTTCCAGTTTGGATAATAGTGTAAATTGCTTACTTGCTCATGAGATTTAACTGTTCAATTTAATTATCTAATAATTCAATTATATAGAAAGGAGTTTGTTGTAATTTATACTAAGAAAGCACAAGTGGAATGTCCTTCATATTACACGTTCAGGACTATTCTGATAATAGCTATTGAAGGGCCTCACCCAGTGGCTTCAAGTAGAGGTTGAACTATATATATATTCCCGAGTTCCCTTTGCACTGTGTTGTCTCACTTTATTTCAATACTGCTACATTTTCCTGTTAATTAAAGCATTTTTTTTTCTGTGCAGATTCTCTGCAGACAAAAAAAGTAAGGAAGGTCCCTCCTGGTTTGCCGTCTTCTGTAAGTCCCAGAGGTTTTAAACCTTTTAATAGAAGCACACGCTTATTTATGGATCTAACTTTCTCAGTCGTAAAGATTCAAGCTTGTCACCCAGCAAGGAAGGAAGGAAGGAAATTGAAATATGAAATATAAACTCCTATTCAGTTTCATCTGCTAGTTCCTGTAATCCAAGAGGAAAGGAGTGTTCCAGGAACTATCTCTTGATACACATCTTTTGATGTTTAATTAGTTATTACGTTGCTGAGGAGGAGGAGGAGGACAGAGATTAATAGCAGAGAATGGTAAAATTTACATTGCTAATGATTCAAGTGGTGTTGAAGACCTTAAGATTCGATTGGTAGGACATGTACAGCTCAGCTTGCTTCAATAGGACTGAGGTTATTAATATGCATAAATCAATTATTGTGAAGCCCTGGTGGATTTTCAAACCTTCATTAAGCCTTTTCTAACTGGAGCTGAGCATCAGAAAGGCTTTCAAGCAGCTGGTTCGTTGATCCTCTTGCACATTTTTCTTTTAGCCTTTGAGAACAAAATACTGATGAAAAATGGAGGGGCTTGGTAGAAAAATCATTATATGATAATCTTACACTTTGGGAGTTTGAAATATTAACCATTTTCATTCAGCAACGTAAGAAAATGGTGACATGTATCTGCATTTAAAATCCGTATCAGATCAAAGGAGAGCCCTTCGTTCCCCTCCCTTTCCGAGCACACAAGAACTCACTTCTTTGTTGTGCAAATGGGGGTGTTGGGCTTCTACTCAGCAGCACGTGGGGTAGGTGCCCTTGGGCGAGTTATGGCTCAAGAGTTGTGCAGGGCCAATTGAATGCGCTGCTGCTCCGGGCAGGAGCAGAGCCAGTGCGCCCCCCCCCCCCCCGGAGTGCCTGCTCCCTGCTCGGAGTGGAAGCGGGAGCTGCCGCCTGCTTCCGTGCTGCTTCTGTTTCCCTCATCAGCTCCTCCTCCTCCTCCTCCTTCTCCCAGGTGCAAGACGCTGCAATTCACCTGGAAGCCAAGCTTAATACTGGACGCCCTCAGAAAAGCAGCTCCAGCATAAGCACCTGGCATGACAAGCTTCCGGGTAAACTCGGGAGCAGAGAGCCAACCATTATTCCTAAATATAGGAACCTTCCCCTCCTCTTCTGTTCCCAAGAGAAGTTTAAAGCTACTCCAAGTTAGTTTTTATGATATTTTTAACTACTACAGTTGACTGACACACACCATTAGTAACTTGGGGGGGAAAGTCTACCGTAGACTGAAGTAATAGTCATGCACACAAAGATAGACTACTCTTTCTGCCATTCTTTAAAAGGTATTTAAGCTCCGTTACTAGCTCTGATTTTGCCTAGGTTAAAGCAAATGCCTTTGTTAAATTATACTTTGGTTTTTGATATTGAATAGTAATGGCCATCTCTACACCAGCAGATAATGCTAAGCTTTTGCATATCAATTTCTGAACCATTCAGGCTCTCCTGAAACTAATGCATAAGCCCAGTTAGTACTGAAGTGTTTCAAGTTCCATCTTCCGTCGCTTCTTTATGAAATGTTGAATGTGGATGCCTTGGTTGGGCCAAGCACTCCTGCCTGTGATTGGGAATGGGCAGGTAGAGGCAGGTGGGCAGTTGGCGCTCCGCCCAAAGGGGTTCTGCTCCTTTGCCCAACTACCTGTTGGAAAGGGTTTTATCCAGTGCTGGTGGGCTGTGAGTGTGTCTGTGCTTGAAAGAACATGGTGGGAGACTTGGAATAAAAAGCCAAAACTGCCCATACTCCTTTTGTTGTTGTATATTCCATGCAGGGTTTCTTGATAAGATGCAAGCTCTGCATAATGCAGGATGAATCTGACATATTAAAAGAGGGGTGGGGGGAATAAGCTGCGTGTGCAGTAGATCTTAGAAAGAATTCGCCCTTCGCAATGCTAGACCCAGGATCATCCGGTGAGGCTGAATTGGTTAAGAGAAATGGTGCTGCTGTCTCACTTCTCGGTACTTGGCTGGTGGCTGCACTAATGGGTAAACATGAATATTTCTTTTTTCCCTTCCTTATTGGAGAAACACTCACTGTTCGAAAGAGGACTAGGGCATTTTATCAGAAAGGCTCTTAAATATTTGGCTTGGTTGCTTTCTTTTCATGCTGTACAAATGTTCTTATTCTGTTAAAAGTGGTGCTAAAATATAAGAGTAATCATTTGCTTTCTTGTCCTTATTCCGGGGCATATAATTGATGATCCAGTAAAATATTATGGAACATTTAATCTGTTCCTTGAACCATTTTCTGTGCTGATCTATTAAATATGGTTTAAAATCCTCAAAAGCATTTGTGTTAATAGTGCTGTTGCTTTTGAGATCTTCAGTTAAGGCAATTGTATTTGTGGCTCTCTGCATTGCATACCGTAAAGCTCCGTGTAAATAAATGCATATTTCTAGGGGGGGNTTGGATTTACTAGAGGGAGCCCCCTTGTGGAATACTGTGAAGCCATTACCATGGCAATTCCACTGCACTGTACAGTAGAAGCCGTTTTACGGCAGAACAGTAGGAGCCATTTTAAGGCACAACAGGCTCTATCTTAACAGAACACACATTGCGAGGGATATTAGGGGTGTCTTACCCCCACAGTATTTTTCTCCAGAGAGTAAGTCATCTGTGTATCAAGTTTGGTTGAAATTGCTCGAGGCATTCCTGAATTATACTGACACATACACACATACAAACAGCCATTTTTAATATATAGATTAACTGAATAGCAACCCATTTCAACTATTAAATAATTTAAGTCATTTAAAAACTGAACTAGACTTAGCACCTCTTCTCTTTCAGCTATATCCTTAAACAAAAAGGCACAGCTATGAGTTTCTGGTCTAAGTGCATTGACATTTTTAATTCACTGCTCCTGTTGGTGTCCTTAGAGAAACTGTTCCCCTTCAAATAACAGCTGATTCACTGCTAGGGCATTTTCAACCTCTCTGATGTTTCCTTGGAAAATCTGTTATTACTGTGCTGAGGTTTGACAATAAACAAATCTTTTTAGGGGAAATACAGTTGGACTTGCTATAAGGAGCTTGAATTCTTGAAACATGATTTTTTCTGGAATTCATTTATAAATTACTTGGTACTTACACCATATATACCAGTGATGGCTAATCTTTTTGTCGTTATGTATCAAAAGCACGCACATGAAAGATAGAGCATGCTGACATGCCAGCACCCATAATGCAATGCGTGTGTGACACCCCCACGCGCCCCTCTACTCGCGCATGTACATGCGCCCTTGCTGTGTGTACCCCAACCCTGCGCATGCACATACGACTCCCCCTGTACTTAATGCAATGCACATGTGCCCCCTATGCGCCCCTCTGCCTATGCATGTGCGTGCGCCCCTCCTGGTGTGCCTCACCCCCGCACATGTATACACAACTCCCCCTCTACTCCCCACCCCCATAATGCAATGCACATGCGACCCCCCCAAGCGCTCCTCTGCCCGTGCATATGCATGTGCCATCCCCGTGTGTGCCCCACCCCCATGCATGCACACGTGACTCCCCCCTGTACTCCCTGCTCCTTATGCATGCATCCCACCCCCTCACTCATTTTTGCTTCCAGGTTGGTGTAGGAGGCTTTCCAGGCCTAAAGTGGGGTGCGGGGGGGACGCCCCCTCCCATGCCCCATTTTGGGCCTGGAAGTCCTCCTGCATCAACCTAGAAGCAAAAACTGGGTGTGGGGGCACTGTGTGAAGCCCCAAAATGCATGTGTGGCAGAGATCCAAAGACCAGCTGGCCGGCAGGAGGTGCTTGCAAATGCGCAGTGGAGCTGAGCTGGGGCGACAGCTAGCATGCCCACAGAGAGGGCTGTGTGTGCCACCTGGTTTGCCATCATGGGTAAATACAGCACATCTAAAACAACATTTTGGTAATATGTAGACAATTTTTGAGTAGCAGATGAAGAAAATACTAATTTTTTGGTGTGGTTTATTTGGAACAGATAGTATTTTATAGTACAAATCTTCAATTTTATATGTGACATTTGGTGAACTTTTCTTATTTTTAATTACATTTTATCTCTATGCAACTTCCGTAGTCTTATTGTACAGGGTCACTAGAGTGGTGCCAAACAGCTTCTTTGCATTATGGCAGATCATCTCGGTCACAAAGCAAGAAATCAATGGGAATTGTTACAAATAATCAGCTAATAATCACTTCTAAATGGATTATATATATTGCTGTGCAGATGGCAACTTCTTAATCATTTTTAGCCATTAATAATAATGGCTGGAAGGACATAGTGAGGACAAGAGTTTAGGAACCAGGAGATGGTAAGTTCTAGTCCCACATCTGGCTGCAAGCCACAGGGATCCACACTGCAGTTAAAAGAACAAATGACAAAAGTTACAACATTGCCTTGTGAGCTTTATTCCTATTGTATTTGTGTTGTGATATTCATGCATAGATGATAGAGGTAGAGCAAGAATGCTGATTTCATCATTTTTGATGAAAAGGTTGGATCCTGTAAATGCCTTTTCCCTTTGGAGAACTACCTATGCAAGAGCATCAAATGATATTACCTATTTTAGTAATGAAACATATGCAAGAAAACAACTCTATTTAGAAAGCACCAAGGACCTCGCCGTTTAGCTCTGAGCTACAAATTTTCTCTTCTATAGTTCTCACTGGTTTAACAGCCTATTTTCTTAGCCGTCCAAGAGCGTTCATCTCGCTATTTTTCAGACCTAAAGGGATCAAAGGAGGTTGTATAATTAGCTCTCAGGCTGACATTTTCGTAGAAATGAAACCTAATTTTACAATAGACGATCCTGGCGAATTTCCTCAGCTCTCTTTCATCTTTTGTTCTAACAAATAGCCTTCTTGGATGACGATGGGAATCCCAGCACACTCCTCCTTTTGCAATCTGATAGGGGAAGGGGAATGTATTCACATACGCTTGGAGAATACAGCGATTAATCTTTAATCTCTGTTATGTGAATATGCAACAGATGGTGCTTTGATGTCAATGGAAAATAAAAATAAATCAGTCAGAGTTTAGCCCTGACTTACTATTGAGCGCTATTGTGTACGACTGACTATCTATCTGCCTTTGTCTGTCATTCAGCAGCTGGGAGGAGATTTATCAGATGATAAGGACACCATAATTCTTGCAAAGTCCCATATTTCGGAAAGAGGTATTCAATCTACGTCTAGTCTATTTAATAATACCATTCCATGTCATAGCATCAATGAGATTTTATTTCATAGTATTTCATTCTGTACCTGCTTTTTAGGCCGACATTAGGAATATTATTGCTCATTGTTAATACATTCCGAAAAAGTTTCCACATTGCGGCAATTGGAGCTTTTGCTGTCGGCCATATTGGAGGGCAGATAACGGAAACCTCCTTATACCAAAAAGACTTGCTGTTGTCCATCTGGGACACAAAATCACTGACCCACTGATCTCAGCTGTTTGCAGTTCCATAGAGTTGATTGCTGTTGTTGTTGTTGTTAGTTGCGAAGTCGTGTCCGACCCATCATGACCCCATGGACAACATTCCTTCAGGCCTTCCTATCCTCTACCATCCTCTGGAGTCTGTTTAAGCTCAGGCTGACTGCTTCAGCGACTCCATCCAGTCACCTCATTCTCTATCATCCCATTCTTTTTTTGCCCTCCATCTTTCCCAGCATTAGGCTCTTCTCCAGTGAGTCCTTCCTTCTCATTAGGTGGCCAAAGGATTTGAGTTTCCTCTTCAGGATCTGGCCTTCTAAACAGTAGTCAGGGTTGATCTCCTCTAGGACTGACCGGTTGGATCACCTTGCAGTCCAAGGGACTCGCAGGAGTCTTCTCCTGAGTTCAAAGGCCTCAATTCTTTGGCACTCAGCCTTCCTTATGGTCCAATCTTCATAGCCATACAGTGAGGAAAACCATAGCCTTAACTAGACACACTTTTGTTGGCAGGGTGATGTCTCTGTCTTTTAGTATGTTGTCTAGATTGGCCATAGCTTTCTTCCCCTTTTAATTTCTTGGTTGTAGTCCCCATCTGCGGTGATTTTGGAGCCCAGGAAAATAAAATTTTGCGCTACCTCCATTTGTTACAAGAGAAGGTCTTAATATCTGGACAGTGAAATTTAACTGACGCTCCTCTTGGCAAACAAAGGTCCTGAAACAACATATAACTGTGTGTATTCTGTGTACATTCATGTATATTGTATAAGTGTGTGTGTGGGGCTCATATCCTACCACATTTGTAACCCACAGTTCTTCTGATACTCCTGCTGATCTCCAACTTCTTTATTTACTGATAGTTTAAGAAACTAAAATCAAAGAACAGGATTTAAAGCCATAAAGAGAGTCACAGTAGGCCAATTTGGTGTAGTGTTTAAGGGACTAGGCTAGAAAGTGCATCTTAGTTCTACCTTAGGCATAAAGTTGGTTCTGCAACCTTTAATTAAACGTAGGAAGAAGGAGGAGGAGGAGGAGGAGGANTAGCTGGCCAGCATGCACATGCGTGCTGGCCAGCTGACAGGGCAACACTTTGCGTGCCCTGACAAATGGCTTCGCGTGCCACCTGTGGCATCCATGCCATAGGTTCGCCATCCCAGTTATAGGGGATCCATCTATTATCTCAGCATAATGTATCTATATAAAGATGGATGATGAAATGTATGCAGTAGGCAGTTCATTCATTAGGAACCTAGATGAATTGTGATGAGCATTTTAAAAAAAATGGTTAGCTTATCTCATATCATAGTCATGACTTAATAGCAGGGAGGAAGGTCTTCTAGTTGTGGCCTATACTGACATCAACAGTATTTGAAAATATAATCTTGAAGTTGTAAACAATTGCTTTTTGAAAAGCATCAGCTTACATTACTTAATGTCTAGGAACACCATGAGCCACGGTGGCACAGTGGTTAGAGTGCAGTACTGTAGGCTACTTCTGCTGACTGCCAGCTGACTGCAATTTGGCAGTTCAAATCTCACCAGGCTCAAGTTGACTCAGCCTTCCATCCTTCCCAGGTGGGTAAAATGAAGACCCAGATTGTTGGGGGCAATATGCTGGCTCTGTAAACCGCTTAGAGAGGGCTATAAAGCACTGTGAAGCGGTGTATAAGTGCTATTGCTAAACAGTATTCCAAGATAATAAGAGTACTGAAGTCAAGGATTTTTTTTGAATTCAAAGTCCTAGGCTGACTGCATACCCAGATTAGAAATTGGATCCTCACAGGGAAAAATGTTGTTCTTGTTCAGCCCTGTCTGAGCAACGAAGTCTTCCTATATCTTTCGCTGGTGTTCTTTTCGTACTCTCTTTGGTTCTGTCTCCCGGTTTGTCCTTTTGTCCTGAGTTGTTCTTTGGTTCTATCCTGCTTCATCTCTTCCCATCTTTCCACACATTTCTGAGCTGAAATTGAAAAATCTGAAAC